TCATTCTTTCAAGAAGATACCCAACAGGAGAATACCTGGGTCAAAGGGGACTTCTAATCCTAATTTTTTGAGGAATCTCCACATTGATTTCCACAATGGTTGTACCAGTCTGCACTTCCACCAACAGTGAAGGTTCCTTTTTCTCCACAGCCCCTCCAGTAGTTGTTTGTGGTTGATTTGTTGATAATAGCCATTCTTTCCGGAGTGAGGTGGAATCTCAGCATTGTTTTAATTTGCATCTCTCAGATGACCAGTGATGTTGAATATTTTTTCATTTATTTATTTGCCATTTCTACTTCTTCATCTGAGAAGTGTCTGTTCATTTCAGATGCCCATTTTTGGATTGGGTCTTTAAATTTGGGAGTTCTGATTTTTTCAATTCTTTTTATGTTCTAGATATTAGTCCTTTATCTGAGGAACTTGTGACTAAAATTGTTTCCCACTTGGTAGGTTGTCTCTTCATTCTGTTTTTGACTTCTTTTGCTATGCAAAACCTTTTTAATAGGATGAGATCCTAATTGTTGATCTTATGCAGTTTGGGTTTTGTTCATGAAGTTGTTGCCTATCCCTAAGTCCTCCAGAGTTCTACCTATTCTCTCTTCCAATAGATTCAGTATTTGTTTTAATATTTAGATCTTTGATCCATTTTGATTTTAGTTTAGCGCATGGTGAAAAACATAGATCTATTTTTAATCTTCAGCATATAGAAAGCCAGTTTTTCCAGCACCACTTATTAAAGAAGCTATCTTTCCTCCAATGAACATTTTTGGCCCTTTTGTCAAAGATAAGGTGACTTAATGTGTTTGTTGTTATTCCTGCCTCTTCTAGTCTGTTCCATTAATTCTCAGGGTTTTTTTTTTTTTTACCACTACCATGCTGTTTTTATCACCGTAGCTCTGCTGTATAATTTCAAGTGAAGAATTGTGATGCTCCCTGCCTTGCCTTTGTTGCTCAGAATTGTTTTTGTTATTCTAGGTTTTCTCCTGGTTCCAAATGAATTTTAGGAATGTTTTCTCAAGTTCTGTGAGGTATGCTAATGGTATTTTGATTGGGATTGCTTTAAATCTGTATAACAATTTTGGGAGTATGATCATTTTCACTATGTTGGTCCTTCCTACTGAACAATAGTAAATATCTTTCCATCTTCTGATATCCTCTTCGATCTCCTTTTTCAGAATATTTTGATTTTTCTTGTTTCTTTATTCTTAACAAGTGTTTATTTCCCAGGCATTCTGACTAGAGCCCATTAAACAAACATATATACTGTTAGGGAGGAAAAATGTACATCATACTTGATCTGAGATTGAACTTAATAAAGATTATGCCATAAGCAAGTGTTCAATAAAGGCTTTTTATTTTTATTTTTCACTCACTCTTTCATTCATTTATTTTCATTGTGAATCTGCTAGGAGGCAGGCACTTGTATGGAAATAGTTGTGAACAAAACAAAGGGTCAGCTCCTCAGATCTTACCTTCTAGGGAGAGAAGAAAGCATAGACAAACCAAAAATGCATCAAACTTAGGCAAATATGAGTGGAGTATAGTGAACAAAATATATTCTCTCCTCTCTTTTTCTTTTCTCTTTTTTTTGTTTTTTTCATTCCCCCCCACCTCTCTCTCTCCCCTCTCTGTCATCAGAAAGAGATAAAACACATGGTCTCAACATTGAGAGATGGTGATATCTCCAGTGTGATATACACACAAACCACATCCAGTCAAAGAGATATCAGGGACCCACAGATGGCCTTTTGAGTCATAATAAGGATATTTCCATTTACTTTTCCTTCAAATTACTTTGGAGGCTGATGCCTTATCTATTAAGCCACTGGGTCACCACACTTTTCCTCCAAATTAGAAGAGAAACAATCAAAGATTTTTTTTTTTATACCAGGGATCGAGCTCGGGTCCTTGTACTTGGGAGGCAGCAGCGGAAGTATTGAGCTAAATCCCCGGCCCAATCAAAGATTTTTGAGACATAATAAGGTCAGGCTTATACCTAAAGAGAAACACTCTGGCCACTTTATGGGAAATTAATTAAGGCAGTCAAGTATGGAAGCAATTACACTTGTTAAGAGTATGATGTAAAATGTAATAATGCAGGAAATGTTGAGAGCTTATATCACAATGGCAATGAGTCAGTGTAGAAGATGACAACACATTATAACTATAGCTGGAGGTGCATCTGTCAAAGGCCAGACCTTAAGATAAAGATGAAATGAGCAGCTCTACATGTTTCCCTGAGGGATAAGCAATAAATTAAAGATTATACCTCCTCATCCATCCCTTCCTAAAAAGGTCTTTGTTCTTTTCATGTACACTTGCTACATGACCTTCTTCCTCATTGGATCAATATTACCTAAGAGGCTATACTTGTAAATAAACCTTTCCTCCTTTAATTTTGAGTGTCAGGTATTTTGTCCCAGCAATGAGAAAAGTAACTAAGACATCATTTTTTTCCCATAACTCATTTTTGTAATTTCTTCCTCTCAAATGATCACAAAATTTAAATGATTCTGCCTCTCAACTCTCACTAGCATTTATTTGTTTCCATTCACATTGGTTTTACCATAATTCAATCCTTTATATATATATATATACATATATTTTTCTGTGCTTTTCTTTTCTTTTTAAGATAATAATGGCTTCCCATGATAAGAGATTTATTTTAAAAAGACAAGTAATTCAAAAAATACTGACCATATTCTCATTATTTGAGATTGTCTAGCTAAATTTCTTGGTATAGATACTATGAATGATTTTATTACATATATGTTAAATAATTTTCTCTGTAGGTCTCTCTTTTTATATATATAATTATATAATATAACTTTGTCTTGTAATGCTGCTTGCCTTAAAAATTATATTGTAGGGGCCGAGGATTTAGCTCAGTGGTTCCACCACCTGCCTCGCAAGCAGAAGGACCCAAGTTCGATCCCCAGTAACAGAAAAAAATTATATTGTGAATTCCTATCTACATCATAATGTTTGACAAAACTGTGTTTAACATGAGCTGCAATGTTGTTCTATGTATAGTGTTTTTACCTAAAACATACTTTTGAAGTTGTACAGTATAGGCATGTACTGTTCAGAGCTCGGACTGTAGGGAATAAAATTTGCCAAAGGCCCCAGCTGTTAGGTTCTCAGATTGATTCATTAGTTTGTTGAAAGTTCACACTTACTGTGGGTCCCTTTCAAAGAAAGGTACTTAATTAGGTACCTTAGATACAGTCAAGTCACTTCATCAGGCCCATTTCTAGGAGATTTGAGATTCCTCTGACTACTGACTTTGGCTGGAGATTTCATTGAAAGACTTACACAATTTTCCATAGAACTATGCACAACTTTTCGTTCTCCCTTCCCTGGGCACCAGCTTTCCATGAAATATAAAGGCTTTCTTTGCTTTTTTAAATTTTTTTTTATTTTTCCTTTAGCTCCTTTCCCATTTTCTCTGAGGCCTTTCAATTTCCCCTAATTTCTTGTACACTTAATCTCAACTTGGCATCTGTGTCTCAAAGCTCCCTAACCAACCATACATATTTGGGTTATTTTCAGATTATAATTCTATGCAATCAGATTAAGATGCTTCTGATTGCTCAGCTTTTAGCACAGCAGTCTTCTGTTGGAAGCCCTTGAAGACCTTGCCTTTGCCTATTATATTAAGCCCGGACTTCTGTCCTACATACTATGCTCCCAGTCCATCTTTCCAACCACTCAGAGCTCTAGTCTAGCCCAATGCCTGTTCACTAAATATTCTTTTCCTCACTTCACATCTGCCCTCTCTAAAGGGAACATCTGTCCCTAAAGGTGATAGAAAGGAGTTTTATTCAGTAATTTTTACTCTTTTGAGTATGCCAAGAGGGAGACTATGTAGCCCACTGGAAAGTATATGTAGTCTGGAACCAAACAGACCTGCTTTGTTATATTACCCTCATATTTTAAAGGCAAAAACTATCTATGATTGCATATATTTGGGAAACATTGAGCTAAACAAAAATAATTTAAGCTTTTTATTTATTTTTAATCCCAACACTTCTCAGAGCCCTTAAAATAGTAATACATACTGACTCTCCAATACCATCACTGATACCTGGTAAAACTTATCCCCAATTTATTTGATTATGAAGTCTTTAAAAATTAGATGATTGCCAGACATGGCTATTTCATTGAACACACTGAGAAAAGGTAAAGGTTGCCATAGAATTTTACAAGTAAATTTTTACAGTACTTTGTCTCACAGTTATTTGTCTTTTTTTTAATAGATAGCATACATGCTTTCTCACTTTAGCCTTTTGGATATTGAAGATAGCAGGCACTGGTTAACTAAAAGTCATGGAATTTTAGAGTGTGTTCATAGGTATAATATGTGGTAATTGGTATTATTTGGTAATATATGAGCACTTTTTTTTTGTACTTTTTTTTCATTACTATAGTATCTTGAGCTATCTTTCAGCCCGGGAAAAGATTAGTAGCTCGATGCTGGCAGAAAGCCGTTGTTAACATGGGCTTGTGAGACCTAACTAACTCCATTTTAAAGTTTGACTCCATCTTAAATATAAGACAGTAAAATGGCCTTGACATAAATTCCACTTCACTGAAGTCAACTATTCCCCTAGTCTCCTTTGTGCCCATAAACTAATGATAAAATGTCCTTGCTGTGGGACAACAGATAAAAAAAGACACAGCTCCTAACTCAATCCTCTGTCTGCACAGAAAACAGATGCTCCCGAGCCCATTATCGATAGAACATTCTGTCAATGTGCTGATTGTTCCTTTTTCCCATAAACTCTACATGTAGCCACCCCTCAAGCCCCCCCCGATGTACACCCCATGCTTGCTAAATATCAACCAATCATGTAACTGCTAAATGGAACATCCCCAAACCTTGCTGTAGCCACAATAAAAACCCTGCTGATTTAGAATTCGGGGCTCTCAATCCTGATCCGCTGTGTCGGTGACGATTGAGTGCCCCTGCTCGAGCTTAAATAAACGACCCTCGTGTGTTTACATCGGAATCGGCTCCTTGATGGTCTTTGGGGACTTTGCGATCTGGGCACAACAGGCTCAGTATGTTTTCTCTAAATATTACTTTACTGGAGGAAGAACATAACAGGAGAAAAGCGTAAAGATGGAAGGTTTTAAGGGGAAGAAACAGGAGACACTTGACTCCAGGTCTCAGGCCCCTCTGAGCTGTGGGAAAGGCAGCCTGTGGCTTACTTCTGCTTGTTTTCATTTCCAAGGGTATGTTTGTCGAAAAGGTACTCGGCTAGGCCAGAATCCGGGGCTCCCATGGTAACTAAATTGTGCACGTGGTCGCCTAGTTCTTTGATAGACTTCACCTGCTCATGAAGGAAATGGGTTTCCAGAAAGTCACACAAATGGGGGTCATCTCTGCCCGAAGCCAGAGCATGCAATTCTAGTAAGGACTGGTTCACATTCTTTTCCAAGACCAGGGCACACTTCATGGCATGCAGCCCGCTTTCCCAGTCGTCCTGGCCAGGTTTCTTGATGTCCTGTAGGCAGATCCGGCCGCCTCGCTGGTTCTGTAGCCACATCAGCTTCTCTGCGTGCTCTCTCTCCTCCAGGGACTGGCGAAGGAAATACCTGGAGAAATTGTTCAAGGCCACGTCATCCCGGGAAAAGTAGTAGGCCATGGATAAGTATACGTAGGACGAGTACAGTTCCAGGTTGATCTGGCAGTTTATCGCAGCCTCGGCGTCGGGGTGAAAGTTCTGGCGCACCCGAGGAGGCCTGGCAGAGTCTCCCGAGGAGGCCGCGGTGGCTAGCAGTCTTCTGGGGGTGACGGCCAGGAGCCCTGGGCTGCAACCGGCGGCCCGCGCTGAGGGAGTGAAGCTGCGCGCTCTGCTCAGGGACGCCAGGGTAGGGCTGAGGTGCCTGCAGAGGAGCCAGAGACCGGACAGCATGGCTCCTCCTTCTCAGAAGAGGGGAAACTGAGGCCAGGTGGGCTCAGCCCCAGCCCGTGGTCTGGTAGCAGGGGCATCGAGTGTGAATCAGACTGCCGTCCTAGGTGACAGCTACTGCGTCACACGGCCTTTCCCATCACCCGCAGAATTCCATGCTAGAACGCCGGGAGGACACTGGGCCACACAGTCCATTCAGCTCAGCGTGTGCCGCACCTTCCACCCAAGATTCCTGTCTTTGAAGTTTGTAATTTGTTACTTGACCTGTTAAAAATGCTGTAGCCGCTGTGATTTGAGAAAGAGAAGCTGCTCTTGTTCTTCCTTGCTGATCTTTTCCTGTGCAAGGACTTCAAGGGGTGGAGGAGGAAAGGCACAAAAAGTCAATTCATCTGGGGGAGGGGGGCGGCGGCAAAGCTCCTGTTTATAAATTGACTTCCTGGTTATTTTAAGTAATGAAATAGTTGCCAGTATAGATAGTAGACAACTTTTCAAATGCCTATAAACAAGATAGTTCTTTCTTTGAAGACAAATTTTAATATATAGAATTTATCTTCATTTTAAAGAAATCAGATACTATAGGAAATACAAAGAATGTACAAAGAGGCTGTAAACTTGATTTTACTTTTCATTAATGTGATATATATTTTTAAAGAACTTTTTAGAATTAGATTCTAAAGAACATTTAGTCTTAGAAGAATATTTAAAACTGTTGCAGAATATTAAGAAAATGAGGATATTTTCAGAAGAAAATTTAAAATATCTTAATTCTTTCTCTGCCCATAAATAACTATTGTTAAAATGTTGATGATAAGTCTCATAGATAAAAAGATGATGAAAAACATATATCACAGACACGTAAGAGCCCATACATGAATTTTAATAGTTTTACAGGGGCATCCCTGACATAATAAACTGTAGATACTGCAGTTTGATACGGCATGACATTTGCTTACATCTGTGAAACCATTACCAAAATTAGGATAATGCACATACTCATCACTCCTTGAAGTTTTCTCATGCCCTTTTTTATTTGCATCATCTTTGCTCTTTTTTATTTTTATTTTTTACTTTTACTAGTACATATTTGCACTACAAAATGACCGCATTTACTATAAGGAATTGATATATGTACATAGCACAGTTCAATTTTTTTTTCTCCTTCCCTCCACCCCTTTTATTTTTCCAGCATTTATTTATAAGACTTTATAAAGTTAATTATCATATACACATATTAAAAATCAGACTAACAGGCCAATTAATATATACAACATGCAAGAGATTTGTACTAAATCATGGCACACATTTAGATACATTGTCTCTGCTGGATTACAATACTTCCCCCCCACCCCTTTTTTCTATGCTCTTTTGTACTTTGTAATCCCTTTCTTTCTCCCTCTGCCTGCCCCATCCCATCCCAGACGACCACAGATCTGTTTTTCCTCACTATATAGATTTCTAGCATTCTATATACTATACGCAGGTAAGATAGTATGTACTTTTTCAATGTATGATTTCTTTCACCCAGAATAATTATTTTGTGATCCATCCCTGTAGGGAACAGGGGAAGGGGACTTTACCAGAACCTCTGCAGTTAGTCCTGGTCTCCTGCGAGCCACGGCAGCACACGGCAAATTACAGGAAAGGTAGAAAAATGAGACTGAGAAGAAGCTGAGCTTTGGTTCTGATCAGTGCTGCTCTGGGCAGCAAAGACAAAAGCCCCCAGTTTACCACACCTTTTATTCAGTACCTCATAACAAATGACTTGCAGAGAATTCAGTACATCGGGAGAAACAAATGTAACAAATGACTTGCAGAGAGTTCAATAGTTCACATTGGGATAAATAAGGTGTAACAAAAGGCTTGCAGAGAGTTCAGTACGTCTCGGGTAAACAAGATGTTAACAGTCCAAGAACACCGAGGAACTGAGCAGATGTTTGTTCTCCCAGGATGTTTCTTGTCCTGGAGAATCACAGCATCACTGGATCACTGAAGTCTCAGTTGTGACCGGAGGCCAAACTGGAGTTATTCTGTAGCTGGGCTGTAGGCAAGAGAACTAGGCCTACTCAAATGATTTTTCCCTAGAATTATGTAGCATTGCTCCCTATTGCAACTTGTATTGATTACTTCCATTTACTGTTCAGTATTATAACATTATTAGTTTTGACACAGTGTGTTGATCATTTCACATGTTGATGGACATTTTGATTGCTTATTGCTTTGAATATTAAAACAAAACTGTGACAGATATTCCTGGGCAAGTCTTTGTGTGGTTGTCTGTGTTTCTCTTGGGTAACATCTTGTAATGAAGTGGCTGGGTCACATTATAAATGAATGTTTACATTTTTATGAAACTTACAAATTGTTTTTCTAAGGTACTTGTACCATTTTACATTCCCAATCAACAGTGTGTGTGAGAATCCAAGTTTCTTCATGTCCTTGCTAACGCTTGGTAATGTCAGTCATTTAATTGTAAGTTTAAAATGTTTGACTTTTAGTTATTCTGATAGGTAAGTACTGGTATTTCATTGTGTTTTTAGTTTGTATTCCCATAATAATGAAATGATACTGAATATATTTTTATGTGCCTCTTTGCTACCCATATACCTTTGAAATGTATGTTTAAATCTTTTGTCCATTTATATATTGGGACACATTTTCTTATGGTTACTAGAGTTTTATGGTTAATATCTGTCTTTGATATTAGTACTACTTGTAGTTGGGTCTTCATTATGTTATCTTTATATTATTTCATCTATATTACTTTCATTTATTTACTTCTGCAAGTCTGATTACCTTTCTACGTCAGTTTCCTCAGTTATAAATTTAGGATACTACTTATCACCCATAGGTGGTTGACAAAACTAAATAGAAGAATGTATGCAACAGCCCTTATTATAGTACTTCACACAGAGTAAGCATTCAGAATATCCTTTAACAGATTGTATTGCATAATTTCTGTTCAGTCTTCAAAATTAGTCATTTTATATTACCCAGTAAGCAAATACTACTACTATTGAATATGAGAAGAACTGTACAGCTTACAAAAACACATATGTTATATTTTCATCATGTATAGATAGTGAGGTAAAATTATTTTTATGTTGGAATGTCAAATTTGTACTTTTGTTGTAACCTGCTGGCTCTTTAAGAAGCTTCTTAATGTGTGCCATGTATAAAATTGGATACTTAAGGTCTACTTTCACTTAAACTCTGCCAGTAGAACATGATTTATAGTCACGAAGCAATTTCCTACTTTCACTTTTCTACACTTATTTTACTTTAATTTCCCCCAAACTTTTGCTATTCCTAAAATGTAGTTCCCTAATAAGAGGTTATGAAAATGACTGTTTACAGTGGTATTAAATGTTCACTGTTAGTGTTTCAGGAAAATTGATAATCTCCATATAAATGTTTATCTGCAAAGTAATAAAATGCATATGTAGAAAGCAAATGCAATACATGAAATGTGATGCAAAACAGTGCCCTAAAATATAAAACATATTTAGATGTTAATTTGTCAAAAATGTCTCTTCTTCCCATTACAAATTTTGTCATATAATTTACTAGACTTTGAGAATGTGAAGATATGGTAGGTGTTATATTTATCTTATGGGCATTTTGATCTCTAATATTCACAGTAAAATTAACGATGCTAATGAGAAGAGAGTGGATTTGAAGGGGCCAGGGTTTTAAGTCTTCTTTTATTGCTGAATAATTTTACAATGTATATTCTTTTGCTTGCTTGAGAGATTTTATGATATAAGAAAATTCTAAAAGCTGTATGTGTTGACCTTTATGCGAGGAATAAGTCTTCTAAGTGCTAGAACTTTGCAAGGATGGTGTGGTTCATTATTGCTATAGTTATACAGCAGAGGTTTGTTTTGGCTCATGATTGGACCTAGATAAATGATGATGATTGATGACTGTAAGTATATTCTGTTTTCTGCATCTTATTTCTTTTTCAGTATTGGCTCACAAGTAAATATATTTTGAAAATATTTTTCTTTGCTTTAGTGTCTAATATAGGTTGTAATTAAATCTTTTTGATAATGATTAATTATTTACAATGATTTTAACACTTTAAAACAAGATGTAATGATTTAACATTTAAGTGTAAGCTTCAAACCTTCTCCAGTGATTATAATGAAAAACGGTGATAGTCACTGAGTACTGGTGTGTGTTAAATTTTATACAAAGCTAGATAAAAACAATATTTCATTGAATCTTCACAAAGGCACTTTGTAGTAGGAAACAAGGTATTGATTTTTTACTCTTCACAAATGAATGAGAATATACTTACATTTACCTCAAGTTTTATAGTTTTATACAGTATAAATGGATCCAGGAAAGCATTTCTAATAACTTTGCTTTCAGTCAAAGTAAGGGGAGTATTTTACATATTGGATAGCATGACAATGCTATCTTTTTTGTTATTGTTTTTATTGTTTTACTTTTTTGAGACAGGGTCTTGCTTTGTAGTTCAGGCAGTCTCTAAACTCACTATGTTTCCCTGGCTGGCCTCGAACTCATGGCAATCCTCCTGCAAATGTACACCACCATGCCTGGCCATTGTTATTCACAGTTTAAGGTCCTTATCCAGAGAACATTCATAACCTAATCCAGAAAATACATGGCTAGAACAAGGATGTCATAAACTATTATGTAGTGATATTCTACTTCTCTTGCTTCTCTAGAAGATAATGTATTTCCTTGAGACAAAAACCAATCACAAAGATTGCTGAAATCTCATCGTGTAGTTTATAATTGACCATAATTTTTGACTTTGAAACTCCTCTGGACTATTCTCCCTATTTCCTAGACTCCTCCTTGAAGTCTCCTAGACTTAATTGTCTCATTATAACTATTTGGACTAAAGGGATGGGGCCTGAGAATTTGATTTCTAATAGGTACTCAGGCGATGCTAATGCTGCCTTCTGAGGGCTACACTTTACAACTGTATGCGTTCACTGATTATCACTTCTCAAGTGGCTTTTTTGTCATTATAAACTATTGGTCTCCATATAACTTGAAAAAGAAAATTTCTGAAGACCCAAACCTGTCATTAAATGAATATAACTTCTAAAAGTAATCTGCGATGAGTTCATTTTTTTATCTGTGGAACTTTTTTTTGAATCATCGAAAAAGAAACTCTGGGTTGAATAGTATCTAGTGTACATGAAAACACTGCCTTTAGCATTCAACATTTTCTAAAATTACTTTTAAAATATTCATTTAGTGTAAGAATATTCACTGAATGCCTACTGTTTGTCAGCTTCCAGGGATAGATACTTCAGGTTTATGACACAGATAACAGAGTTTACATGTACATGTCTATGATATTGGATCAGACATAGCTATATTGATTTTACAACTAGTTGAAAGTACAGCAGAGTCTACGGCCATACCACTCTGAACGTGCCCGATCTCCTCTGAAAGTATGGCATGCACAATTTGAGGGTTGTGATTAAAATATG